CCGGCCGCAGTCGGGGGGCCGTGGGGTCAGGCCTGGTGCAAGCAGTCGCCGCGGCTCCCGGCTTGGGCCCTGCTGGCCTCTGGGCGTGAGGTGGGCGGGCCTGGGCCACCCGCCGTGGTGCCCTGGGTGTGACGGGGCCTCACTGTGACGGCGGGAGCGGGCCCCGGACACTGGGTGCCTCCAGCCCCGTCCTTCAGCCTCACCCCTCTTTCCTGCGGCCTCAGCCCAGTTTGGCACCGCCTGCCGGAGTGACCCTCCCTGGAGGGGGCTCTGCCCGCCTGGCATGGGCTGCGGAGGGAAGAGCGTTGCCAGGTCACTGCTGAGTCAGCGTCCCGCCCTGAAGGTGGGGTCTGAGAGCCCGGGCGGGCAGAGGCTGGGCTTAGTCCTGGCCTGGACCTCCTTGGGCCACCTTGTGAGGGGCCAGCCTGCACAAATCCCCGGTGCCTTCCCAGCTCCAACTGGGGGTGCCGGCGGGTCTGCCCCGCCAGGGCCCGTGGGGGCGCCGTGGGCGGTCAGCGTGGCCGGGGCGCTGGCGGGGTGGCGTGCGGGGTGGGGCCCTGACTCAGCCAGGCCTGCGCAGCGCTGACTGGCTGGTGGCCTGGGTGGGGACGGGCAGGGGGCGGGGGGCTGCCCAGCCCATTCCCGGCTCCCAGCGAAGCTTCCGGCTGAGTCACCGGGAAGGGAGCGGCTCCAGGTGAGGCTGGCGCTGAGCTGTTCCCGCCTCATTTCCTGCTCAGGCCCCGCCAGGGTGGGGAGTGGGGCTCCCGGCGGCTCCGACAGGCCCCCACCCTGCGGGCCGCCCCGTCCCAGAGCCACCAGCCAGGCCCCCGGGGCGCACGCAGGCCCCTCCGGAGGAAATCCCGGCCCGGTGGCCGCCGTCTCCCCACAAGCGGGCAGAGGGCACTGGGCCCGCACAAGGCTGGGGGCTCCCCAAGGCGTGTGCGCCCCAGCCAGGGCACAGCACCCCGCCCCGTCTCCTCTCCACAAACAGCACCAAGCGGGCACACAGGCGGGGAC